AAATACATTCCTGGATGCTTGAACTGGTGGGGTCCTCATCTATCAAGTACTTGGTGGACAAGCCTAACCTCAATGCCCTAACCTCAAGGTTTATGTGATTGAACAGTCTACATACTAGGGATTTAGATTTTCAGGCACCAGGTACTATAATGCCCAATTTGATCCTTTCAGAATGAAATCCCCAAGCCTGAGCCAGCTGCCTAAAGCCAATGGGAAATTTCTTTTTTTAAGATCCCTTGGCCAGACAGAGGAAAAGGTAAAGCCAGGATCATGTTTAAGTTCTGCCCACTCTGATTCAATGAGATTGCATGGCAAGCACAGCCTCTTAGCATTACTGTATTCCCAATAAAAAAAACCAAATGCAGGAGATCCAGCTTCCATCTCTGGGAAGCATCTATGAAGAAAAGAGGTTCTTCAACACTTAACCTACATGTATTTGAGCACAGGAGTAAGCACAACCCTGAACATGACCCTGAGAACAAAAAGGCATTTGTAGCCTGCAGAAAGAAAGCACAATGTCTCCTGGCAGTGCTGATGCTCAAGAGAGCATTTAGTGCTGTGATGCTGAAAGAGTCCTCTCCCCACTCCTGACCCATCCAAACTCTAGGGGGCTGGTCCAAGCTAACATGCAGGGTTCCCAAAAAGCCAGTGGAATGGCATGTCTGCAGGCCAATTTATCCTGTCCCCAGATAGTTGCTTTAAGATTGGTGCAGTCAGCCTGAACCTGGCAGTGGTGTTTGCATCCTAAAGGGCTTTGCCCAGAAAAGAGGAGCAGTTTGGTTTTCATGTGCTCAAGTCAGATACACTTCTGAAGAGGTTAAACTCCAAACTGTTGTCAGGCCACTGGTCTAAGCAGAAACACCACAATGATGGAGAGATCCAGCATGTGTTGCTTGTATAATTTTCGGCCTAGTTACTAAGACTGATATACACTGTACTATCTATTCCTGGCCACAGACCATGCTGACTGTTTGAAACAAGGCTAGTATGTTCTGTCTTCCCTCTCAAAGAAGACATGGTCTCCAGATCATATGACAAGTTGGAAAAATGCTTGGGGTATGCCTGCAAGCATGAAGGGAAGAAAATTTCACTTTCATTAGTTAGGGCTAGCTTCAGTTCCTTGTGATGAAATTTCTGGGGAAAGAAAACAGGCTGTTAGATCCTACACTGGAAAAAAAGGAAAGGAAAAAGCTTGCCTGGGAATTGGTAAATGATCTGAGCAGAGCATAAAGAGCCTTTCACTAATAGGTCATGTGATTGTTGATGAGTATGAATTATGCATACCATGCTTTTGGGGAAGAAGGGATGATCAAGAGCTGGCAAAAAGGAGGGTTTAGAAGACATGATTAGCCAAAGCTCCACTTTCATCCTTCCACACATAGTGAACTGCCATGGCCAAAGAAGGGAGGTCAAGGGAACACTGGTAATCTGTGGACAAGACACCAACAGCTGAGGAGTTGAATCAAAAATGACTTGTTGGCCATGTCCTTTGGAAGTGAGTGACATCTGGGAAAAATTACCTTGGCCAATGTGAAAATGAAATGCTGTCACAGTGGAATACTTCAAAGACTGAAATAAACTTGCTTAATACAGCTAGGAATTTTCTATCATAACACCTTTTCAAACGATACCATCACTTTACTGACACTGAAATAGTTTGCACAATGGCATTTTTTTCCACAAACTTCCAATAAACCACAGGAGTTGTCCCTGTGCCAGGGCGACCACCCATCCAGGGATCATGGATCTGCTGCAGTCTGTCCGAGACTACTGCAGCAATTCAGACTGACTTAAAGACAGACACTTGGGATTTTTAAGGTGTCCAACTCCAACATATTCCTGTCATGTTCTAAATCCAGGACTGGGAACCCCAGAGGCATACAAGGTCCAGATTTGCAGAAGAGACTCTGCCTGAGAAGTCCCTGGGAGCCTGGGGGATTTCCATTCTCTCTCCATAGATTAAATGGGTCTTTGTATCTCAAATTCACTGCAGATGCCACCGTTTGTGTGTCCCAAGCTCTCCACTTGCCCAGTGCAGCCAAGTGGGAGCAAGAAGTCTGGGATTCTCAGGCAGTCATGCAACGTAGGCATCAGTGAACAGTTATGGAATAAAAAGTAGTTTTTACTTTCATTTTACCCTTTCTCTGTCCCCAGATATTAATTTCCAAAGTTCTTCTGTTACCTGTTTCCTATTTGTTATTTTGTTATTTGTTATGTTTCCTATTTGTTATTTTGTTATTTGTCGTTATTACTATTACATAACAATTTTAGGTATTATAACCAACCCATGGTTATCAAACACAATAAGCAAGGTTTTTTAGAAAAATCACAGGACTAAAGAATGCTTTTCACTGGGTACCTATCAGAGTTTTTTTCCTCCCATTTCAATTGCTTGAATTAGTCCATAGGAATTAAACACATAGTTAATAGTTGTAGAATTTCAGTGAAGTCTTCAAACAGACTGAATACAAATATTTGTGTTTATCTGACTGAAACCAATCAAGACTTATGAAGTCAAAATTTAAATATGGGTGTTTTCCCTCTGCTGCTAATGTTTATTTCTACATGTAGAATACTCTGGTTTATATAAAGTACAGATTGAAAGACTGAACTGACCACTGAAATATTATCATTCCTTCCTTCTGCCTATGCCTCATTTCCAAGAAACATTTTCAATCTCCATTGTGTTTGTTTTTATTACTTACTGAGATACTGGAGAGCACTCTTATGGTAGTATCTCAGATCATAGGTCAGAAGCCATAGGAAAAGTGACATGTCTTGGATTTAAGACTAGAGTTTTTCAAGTGGGAGGACAGCTTCAAACAGCAAAAGACCTGAACTTTGCTGAGTCAGAGGTGATTTTAGCCTGTGCCTTCCTTAATCAGGGCAGTGGAGTAGATTGGCAGGCATTGGTCAGTCACTTACCTCCTGGGGATGGAGTATGGTTGTATCTGAGGGTATAGATCATTCCATCTATTGCTAGTGTAGTACACTGCTATTTTCATGTCCACTTTTCATTTTACCTGGTTCTGTGACTATTAGTGTTCAGCCAGAATGGTCAAGAGACTGCAAAAGTCCTCATTTGTTCTTTGGAAGCAGGGTTTCCACAGCAGGAGAGGGATATTAACACTTTGATGTGGTCACCTCCTAAAAAAATATCCACTCTAGATGGACCCTTCCCAACAGACACAATAGCCCCTTGCTTCTTTGTGCCTCTTCAGCTCTATCAAGATCTATAATTTTTTTAATTCAGAGGACAATTCCAGTGCAACTAAATGGGAATGAATCCCTGTAGTTGGGCAGTTGAAAACTGTCAAGATAGTGCTGCATGAGAATGTTCACCGAGGAATTTTTGAGAGAAAATAGCTCATTTCAGAGGTTCTGTGGTATTTGTTGACTAGGAAAGGGCATTCAGACCAATGGTAAAGTAGATGTTTCCCCCATTTGAAAATGATGCAGTTTTCATCCCTTCCTTTTCCCAAGGTCACTGCAGAAGGAGGGCAAGGAGGTGCCCCATGTGTCAGAGCAGAGATTCCCCTGCAGTCTGTGATGCAGAGTGCTCTCCAGTGTGATGCAGGCCCTGGTGAGGCAGGCTGTGCCCCTGCAGCCCATATCGATCTATAGTGGAGCAGAGAGCCATATGCAGCCTTTGGAGGACCCCCCACTGGAGCAGTGGATGCCCGAAGGGGGCGATGACCCTGCGGGAACCCCACTTTGAGCAAGCTCCTGGCAGCACCTGTGACCCCATGGAGAAAGGAACCCACACTGGACCAGGTTTGCTGGCAGGACTTGTGACTCTGTGGGGGGACCCACCCTGGAGAACTTTGTTCCTGAAGGACTGCACCCCATGGAAGGGACCCACACTGGAGCAGTTCATGAAGAACTGCAGCCCCTGGGAAAGGGAGTCACATTGGAGAAGTTTGTGGAGGACTATCTCCTGTGGGAGAGACCTCACACTGGAGCAGAAGAGTGTGAGAAGTCCTCACAGAGACAATGTGTGATGAATTGACACCGCTCCCATTCCCCATCCCCCTGCACTGCTGATATGGGAGCAAGTAGAGAAATCTGGATTTGAGTCTAGGAAGAAAGGAGAGGTTGAGGAAGGTGTTTTAATTTTTATCTATTTTTTTTTTTACTTCTCATTATCCTATTCTGACTTTTGATTGACAAGAAATAAAACTAATTTCCCCAAGTCAAGTCTGTTTGGCCCATGACAGTAATTGATGAGTGATCTCAACCCATAAGCCTTTGTCATATTTTTTCTCTTCTGTCCAGCTGAGGAGGGGCATGATAGAGTGGCTTTGGTGGGCACCTGCTATCCAGCCAGGATCAAACCACTACACCTTGTTTTCTTATGCATGGGTTGCCTGATGGGATATATGCATACCAAGCAACCAAAAAGTCAGCCGTAATGTCAGCAGACATTAAGTGAAATGGAACAGAGGTGGGCATAGTGAGACTAGGTTTCATCTCCTAAAAATCTCCCAGCTCCCCAGACAAATACAAGATAGTATAGAAGACCCCAAGTAATTGGAGTATTTGAGGCAAGTGAGAAGTGGCTTCTGAGATTCCTCTTTCTGCTGCTGATGGCATTCAATCAATGACAAACAGGATATTATGGGAGCTGGAGGGAAAACATTTCTATCCCAGAAGAAAAATGGGACATTTGATGTGCTGGGAGTCACCATATATTTTCTCACTCAAGTGAAGGGCTCTTTCTGCCCTTACAGTCAAACACAGAGTGAATGTAGCACTGATTGTGCAGTCAGGCACCTCTCACTAGATTGATGCTCCAAATAGATGGATTGGGCAGCAGGTTTGGAGCCTACAGTCATGAAAGAGCAAATAAAACAGAATTATACATTAAAGACACCAACACACAAGCTGGTCTGGTTTCATAGGAGCATTATTTAATCGAGCATAGGAAATACATAGTGTTCTTTGGGTGTCATGGTAGCTTATGTTGGATCTAGGAGATTTTTGTAGGAGTGGATCTGATAAGATACTACAACGGAGGCTACAAGAAGCTTGAGGAGCAAGACTGCCCATCCTGCTTATGCAGCACAACTCAACAAGGTATTTGTAAACATCAATCAAACACTGTATGCTTGATTAGTACCTTAGTGACATGACTGGGTTACTCGAGGTGTCTAGAAATTGGACTGATAAGTTATATTGTTGTAATCTTCACTTTCTATGAGCAAGGGTTGTATCTCTGAAGAAGTTCCTCTTTTTCTCTTTCGGCAGGCCAGAACAAGCCCTGTGAGCACAGCAGTTACAATGCCTCCAACCACAGCTGCTCCAACCAACCAACCCCAGATCTGACGGGCTTGCTGAAGGTAGGGTGTCAAGAACTCTTGTAAAGAGTCAGTGGCTGGAAAAAGCAAACAGAAAGAGAAAGGTCCTTTCGCATGATGCAATGTACTGTTAGTTTATAGATGTTGTATAACAGAAGGAAGGCTGAGTGAAAAGAGACAACAGTGGTAGAAACTGAGGGTCACAATAAGTTTTAAACAAATGTATTAGGTCCTTATTGTCTGTTTCTCATTCTTCATATTAAAGGCAGGAACAGAGTTCACTGTCCCCAGTGCTTCTTATGGTTTTGTCAAAACTTAAGACTATAATCCAAGAAGTTTGATACTGTATGGCCAAAGGTCCTGCTAGCTCACCGTCCTGTTGGCAACAGTAACTGAAACAGAACACTAGGGAGAGTTTAGGAGCAAGTCAGGCCTATTACAGACCTTTCACAAAATACTTACCAAGCCTCCAACAGTTTGCTACTCAGGGATTTCCTGAACAAGACGTGGTGTTGTTGTTTATAATAGTCATTGGAGTGTGGTTTTCCTTCCATCATCTTTTCTAGCTGCTCTTCGAACGTTTATCACAACATACTTCAGCCATAAGATCCCTACCTTAACTTATATATTGAGTGTGGGGGGGGAAAGCTTCCTTTCACTAGTTCTGAACCTGCTCTCTGCTCATCTTATTTGAAATCTTTTGTGTGGGGAGAGACAATAGGCAATTTTTCTCTGGTCATTCTCTGCACAAGAAATCCTCTTTCTTCAGTGAATCTAGGGCAGCTTCTCACTGTCAGATAATTAGTGCCTCCTTGCTTTGCAGTATGAGTATGTGTGTCTGTTTTCCTTGCTATGGCTTAATGAATTATGAAAACCCTGCCATACAGGGCTCTTGCTTCAAAACAGAAGTTGGAAAGGGACCTGTTCAAAATGCACCCATCAGCCTGCTGGCTTGAGTTTGAAAAATGTGACCACTTGTCCCCTTGGGCCAAGGAGGATTGGGAATCCACATCTCCCAATTACTAGCTCTAATGACTATTATTAGCTGTAATTGCTAGCTAGTAGGGGAAAAAAATCCAAACCAATACCATCTCTTTGGGCACCTTCTCTGGGACCCCCTATGGTGGTTTATTTTTTTTAAAATGTTTTTCATGCATCTGGACTGATTTAGATGTACTCAACCCTATTTAGTGTAGTATACCCCCACAAAGGCTGTAAATGTCTTCTTGTCATCTTGCATTTTCAATGGTGACCCATATATCTTCTTGGATCATGATATTTCCAAGCATATGTTGCTGTATGCACTGTGCTCTGATAAGATGCTTTTGGTTTGCAGCACCTTTAAGGTTAAGCTATCCTTAGCACTTGAAGTCTGAGATTTTCTCATTTTCTGAGATGTAATTCCAGTTTAGGCTGAATATATTTAGTTTGTCCCTACAATGCAGCTTCACTTTGGTGAATATTTGGTGACTTTTTCCTCTGTCCCTTGTTTTCCAGTTAGTCCAACTTTGTATTCTGAGATTGTGTTTGCAGGAGTATGCATGTTCAGCCTTCTGCATGTGGTCTCATTAAACATATTAGTGCTATACAACACTAAGGATTACACAAAAATTAGATTCTTGATGTTTCAGAGTGAACCCCACAAACCTCTGGGTATGAGGGACATTATCTCTTTAATCCTTCATTTCTCATCTGTCAAGTGAGGACAGTACCATTAACTGAATCCTTCTTATTGCGAATATAAATTAATACTTCTTCAAGACTCAGCTGCTATAGTGATCAGCACCAAAGAAAATGTTAGAGGAAACATCTCCAGGACAGCATTTTAAGAGTGTGCAATAAATCATACATTAAGCTACATGCTGCTCAACTGAGAAAACAAAAATCAAAAGTGAAAAGATTGGATATCTGTTTCTCAATGAATTCTGCCAATGCTACATGGTGAATGAGGTGAGGGTCTGGGGAAAAAATACTGTGCAATGAAAGATAATGCACACCTGGAGAGGTGGAGGGTGGATTGTGGCTACAGAAACTTTAATGCTGGAATATCTTAACTTTATGTGCTTGACTTTGTAACTGCAATGTGTTCTTTTTAAACTCCGCTCTTTTGTGTTTATATCGCAACCATGTCTAAATTAGAAACAATCTGGATATTTAAAGTGGAGTATGGTTATGTTAAAAGAAAATTGATACATAACAGGAACTTGACACTGTTTTAATGTTATGGAAAAATAGAATAATCACAAAGTTCTCTTCCTTGTGAAATGTATCTGGGATATGAGGGTTTTCTAAGTGATATCTTGAATTCTTACTTTGTCCTGAACCATCTCTCTCCTCCAGCAATATTAGCTGGAGTTCTGAGCTATCTTCTTCCAAGTAAAACATAACATGACTTGAGATGATGAGATGTCACATTTCATGGCAGGCCCTTTCAGAGGGGATTAATCTATTTTATTATACCCTGATAATCAGTCAAACATGTCCTTCTCTTGCTTTCAGCCTCAGTCTATACTGGTTTTGTAATTAAAGTAAAAAGCCACTTTTTGTCATCTACAACCTGTTTCTGTTTGCCACACAACAGAGTTTTGGCACCACTATCATGAAGTTGCCATGGGAAATCTTGGATGTCACGGATAGAACACCCAGGGGTGTGATAGAGTCACCATCCTTGGAAGTGCTCAAAAATCATGTAGATGTGGTGCTAAGGGACATGGGGGCTTGGCAGTGCTTGTTTTGTGATTGGACTCTTAGGGTCTTTTCCAGCATAAATGATTCTGTGATTCTGTAAAACTGACCCCACTGGGAGAGGGAGATTTTCTGGGGAAAATTCAAGACTGAATTTGTAAAGGTATCTGCTTTCTTTTCTGGAAGAAGAAAAAAAAAGGAAATACTTAGTCCTGGCTCTGAAATATAAGCATTTGGACTAACTCTTGACAGAGAAAATTGTTTTGACAGCTATTGCTAGGTGGTGCAATTAGTCTTCCAGATCTTTTTTATTGATGCTTACAAGTGTTTGTTTTCAGTAAGCCATGTGGGTTGTGGTAGTTTTACAGGTCA